AATAAATAAATAAATAAATAAATAAATAAATAAATAAATAAATAAATAAATAAATAAATAAATAAACACTACATAAATAAATAAATATATTTTTAAAGATAATCTTTCCCGTGTCCACCTCTCATCTTGTCCCTGGCCCCGGCCACCATGTAGTAGAAGATGTGGAAAGCTCTCTCCGTGTTCGCCTGACGGATGCACCGAGACTTCTCCAGCAGGTCTATTTATCCAATCAGTTCAGTATTTAACCAATCAAATCAATATTTAACCAATCAATCCATTATTTAACCAATCAGTTCAGTATTTATCCAATCAGTTCAGTATTTATCCAATCAGTTCAGTATTTAACCAATCAATTCAGTATTTAACCAATCAATCCATTATTTATCCAATCAGTTCAGTATTTATCCAATCAGTTCAGTATTTATCCAATCAGTTCAGTATTCAACCAATCAGTTCAGTATTTAACCAATCAATCCGTTATTTAACCAATCAATCCATTATTTAACCAATCAGTTCAGTATTCAACCAATCAGTTCAGTATTTAACCAATCAAATCAATATTCAACCAATTAGTTCAGTATTCAACCAATCAATTCAGTATTTAACCAATCAGTTCAGTATTTATCCAATCAGTTCAGTATTTATCCAATCAGTTCAGTAGTTAACCAATCAAATCAATATTTAACCAATCAGTTCAGTATTTAACCAATCAGTTCAGTAGTTAACCAATCAGTTCAGTATTTAACCAATCAGTTCAGTATTTAACCAATCAATTCAGTATTCAACCAATCAGTTCAGTATTTATCCAATAAGTTCAGTATTTAACCAATCAATCAATTATGTAACCCATCAGTTTAGTATTTAACCAATCAGTTCAGTATTTAACCAATCAGTTCAGTATTTAACCAATCAGTTCAGTATTTAACCAATCAGTTCAGTATTTAACCGATCAATTAATTCAATAGTAGTTCATCTCATACATATATATATATATATACACATGATTAACTAACTATATATATGTAGTGACAATAAAGGGTTAGTTAATTAACGAATCAATTCATTAATTAGTATTTGATCTCATATATACATATATATATATATACTAGATTAACTAACTAATTTATTAATTATATAGATATATAAAAAGGATTATATATATAAATGGTTAGTTAAGTAACTAATCAATTATTTAATTGGCTGTTAATCTCATACATACATATGTATATATAAAATGTATACGTCTAAGGACCATACAGGCGTTGTGACTCTGAACTGAAGGATACAGGTGTCGATATTTGCCCCGACGAGGAAGCCGGTCACATCAAAGTTCAGCTTGATGAACT